GTTAAAAGTCTGTAAAGTTTTCTTGCAAAGAGAACTTTGCAAATGTTTTAGGAGAAGTTGGAGTAACTAACTCCCTGAGTTTTTTGTTTGCTTGGTTTTGAAATCGTCTTCTGAGCTTTCCTGAGAATAACAGTAAGGGGCAGTCTGGTCTGAGCTTTCAGAAACGTGTGAAATGCTGGGCTCTGGTTTAAAAACAAACAAGCAAGTAAAAGACCAATTTTTTTTTAAAGAATCTGCAAGCCTGATTCTAAAGGCTGGTGACATGCTGACCTCTTCTACCAGAAGAGGAATTTTCTTCAGGAAAAAGAAAAAAGAGTTGACTTGCAGACCTGCCTATTGCCTGCATTTTTCTCAGGGCAGCCAACTTGGAAGGGAGACATAGCTGAACTGTTGGGGGAAAATATCCATCAAAATACTTCAGCAGAATATCCACTGAAACACATCCAAATGTCTATTTAGCATAGCAGCTGCATCGAGCTAGATCATAACAGAGACGGGCTCTGAGCAGGACTCCCTACGGTTGAGGAAATCAGAAGGTCCTAAAGCAGTCTCAGCTAGAGCTTTGTTCCACTGCAAGCGTTAAGGTAGCACAACCCCTAAGAGTTATTCAGTCCTTCATTTCTACCATCATATTGGTGTTTTGAGACATGAATTTTGCTTGGGGTATTTTTTTTATTTCAGTTTCGTTTTATTTTAGATACAGCTAAATAAAAAAGTGCAGATCCTTGTAGTTAAAAAATAGTATAATATATCTCATCAAAATGAATGCTTTTTAGTTACTATAAGTGATTATGTCTGAGTTTGCAAGTTTGCTTGCATTTTGTTAAAGATATTGCAGTCAGATCTGTTATATAGGACAGATTTTAACTGATATTTTTACGTTGGTAGATACAGACAAAAATAAGCTCAAACAGTCAGATCTGTTATATAGGACAGAATTTAACTGATATTTTTATGTTGGTAGATACAGACAAAAATAAGCTCAACTACTTGCAGTCAAAGCTATGTAGACATGACTTAGTTGTGCCCTGGAGGCTACGTAGTGATTTAAGTTATAAATTGTGCTTGAGTAGAGGTTTTTCAGCTGAGGCATAGCCTCTTATGCACATAGGTTTTGGATCTGATTTGCATCTCTCCCTGAATCTCTACCAAATACAAGTTGTGAATTCCCTGCTCCTTTGTAACCGAGGATGTTATTTCTTAATCAGTGTTTTGACAGTCACTAAAGAATATGCACAACTGAGCTGAAAATTTCAGGAATGTGCATACAAGTGAAAAATAGACAGACTGTCGTAAGGAAACTAGTTACAGTTACAGTTTACTTCAGGGAGCTGGATGATTTGCCCCTGTTCATCTTCACTGGTGCCTGGGATTTCCAAGCAATTCATTCAGTTACCATTAGTTTAGCAATTTCAGCTCATAACCTTACAGAAATACAATTCTGGCTGGAGGACAAGTTGTTGCTCCATGACTCTTATGTTACATTTTCAGTCTTAAAATTTTCCGTCCAGAACCTTGGAGCTTTTCTAAATTTACATATTCAGATTTCTTAGCAGACTTTGCAAAACCAGTAGAATCAGTGGCAATAAGCCATATGCACATTTGGAATACCTGCCAATTTATCCACCTCTCTGATTTTTCATTTACATCTCATCCCTAGAGTAACTTAATACAGTCATATAACAGATAAAATTGTCTAGATTTTCAGAACTGCTTCAGAGTGTCACAATGAGATTTACAGCCAATTCATAATTTGTGCTACAAGTCCTCTTGCACACAACGGAATTACTGCCCTTTAAACATCTTGGATTGGTTTTTCATCTTGATTATTATTCCCTTTAGTACTCCTGATTTTAGAATATGTTAATGGTTTTTAAATATACGATACAAAGGTGAATTTTAATAGTGTCTTCCTGCATTAGACAGAATTCAGTAACATCTCAGATTCTCAGTAGAGATTCAGGCAACTGAACAGTTTCAATTTTTTATTTTATTGATTAAAATTATCTTGAAAGGTTTCTTTCTGGCTCTGCAATGCAGTGCAGTAACAAAAGGCATTGCAAAAGTGCAGTTAGCAATTTCATTGAAAGGGTCTCTGGAGAAATGTGAAAGTCTGAACAGCATCTATTAATAATGGCTGGCATTGCTGAAAAGCAGCCATGTAGCACATAAGTGTAAGGAAAGGGAGAATGAAGGCTGATGCCAGGAGGTGTTTCTCTCCGCAGACTCTTTGCAGTTATTATATGTCTAGGCTAACATTTTATGATTACCTACCTCACAGCATCACTACAGTACTGAGCGAGATTAATCATATGTAAGCCAGGAAGTAATGTACTGCCCTTGGCAGAGAAAGGTCCCGTCAAGTGAAATATGTGGGCTTCATCTGACCAGTCTGGGGATCTTCTCCCTGCAATTCAAGGATAACAGGATTAAGCCCCCCTAATGTGCCCTGTATGCACCATAAGTAAATAGCAATGGACAGCAAGATACTTGTTGGGGAAGCAGTGGAAGTGGTTCCTACAAAAGATGTCTCCTGTCTCATTAGGAGATCAACTGAGGCTTTTTGGAGGGCTCCAGGAGGAGGCAGAAATGTAATGACTTCTGTGACCCTGCCTGCCTTGGACCACAGCTGCCTCCTCCCGGCAGCAAGGAAGCGCTGGGAGGTTCTTCAGGGAAATAGGACCAGTCCCAGCTATGTTCCCTCTCATTTCTGAGATACTAAGCCCTGACTATTGCTAGGCTGCTCATAAGCAGCCTAAGGACTTTTGCCTGAATCTTTCCATCCTATTTCAAGTTCCTCACTGTCTCTTCAGAGTTAAGAAGAAACAAATAAAAGGAAACAAGAACAAAAATGGACAAGAGTAAACTTTTGTCATTAATTTTATTGGAACAGTATGCTGTATCTCTTTTAATTACTGCCAGTGCGATAAACTCCTTTTTACATCAGGATGCATCTTGCTAACCACTTGTTAACAGTACCACTTTTTTGCAGTATCACTTTTTTTAATAACAAGCTGGGCACTTTCCTTCTCACACTGACTTAATTCTTCTCAATGGGAAATGGTTGTAAATATTGGCCCATTGGTAAGAACAGGAATCACGTGAATTAAAATGGACAGAAAAAGTACTGCTATACCCAATACCCAGCTCTAAAGCTGTAGCCTATTCTGATATAAAGGTTATATAGAATAGTAACTTTCTCTTTCATGGATCTTTTCTATCTATGTATTTAAAATCTTATGTCTTCTGTTTTTTTCTCAAAGACCATGAAGATTGCAAAAAGACATATGTTTCTATTTCAGTTCATGCATTAGACATATCTTTGTCAGTGAAGTTCATTCTGCACAGTCTTTATTGACAGTGCATGCCTGAGCCTAACTGAAACAAAGCTTAATTTTTATCTTGTGTTTGCTACAGGGATAGTCAGAAAGAATTTTACACTTACAAAATGCACTGACAAGGACCCTTGATTTCTCATTTTATATATCATTTCCCAGAGGAGGACTACTCTCAATAAAATTTTCATTTAATTTTCAATATGATTGATTATTCATAATTTGGATAGTCATTATAGGTATGATTTCATTTCTGATGTTAATGAAAAGCTCTGTCTAATTTCTGATTATCTGCCTCAAATTGATGAACTTGCCCTTATCTCTCCAGACAATCATGCATGGTACTGGTTTTGTCCTTATTTGAAAGCTCTATGATGCTTTCTGAAAACTGAAGAAAAACCATTATCAGAGAGATTTCTAATACCATGTTCAAGAGATGCAGCAAAAGCTTCAACAGTGCTTCAGTGTCTGATGAAATAAAATAACTGTGCATGGATTAACATTTCCAATCTTGCTGAGGCTTAAAAATACTTTTTTTTTAATAACTGATTTTTAAACTGAAGAACATGTATAGAATGGAACAGCAGCACCAAGGAAACAAAACCAATGAAAGCTTTTTAAAAAAATACATGATGATGGATGACATTTACCTCAGATGAAAGCATTTGATAGCTGGTAGGAAACTTGGGATATCAACTTATCTCTTTGAGTACTTAGTAATATATAAGGTGAGGAACTAGGAAGCTCATAAAAGTACAGATAGAAATAGGCAATTGTATCCCTTCTTGCTTTTATTCACATGATATTAAACTGTTTCTGTAGTGCAAACACAGTTTTCTGATTTAAAGTAGCTGTAGAACAGAACTGTAAAGGCAAGGTCCTGTTTCCTTAGAAATGTATAAAATAAAATGAAAGAAAGAGAGTTGGATTAGTAGAATCCAACTGTTGGATTTGAATTATTTGGATTGGTTTGGACGAGTTTGCATAAGTTGCATTGTCTCTAATTTAAAAATGAATTATCCGTACTGCTTTTCTTCTCATATAGTACTTTGATATCACATAGTCACAGGAATTAGAAGTGGGAGTAACTTGGGCATGTGTTTTACTTTGTCTTCCTGTTGTTGCTTACAAAGCATTTCCAAGGTAATCCATGTAAATCAATATCCAAGGTCGCCCTTGTCTTGGCTCTGATTCTGTTTTTCAAATGGCATTTTGACAAATATTCTTCATTATATCTTTACAGCTGCAGCTTGTGATGGAAAATTTATGTTGACTGATTCCTCTGGGTTTTTTCACTCCATGAATTATCCGAAACCGTATAATGCAAATATAATTTGCCAATGGATTATAAGGTAAGTAATTTTCCAATAATTTTCTACATAACATTTTTTGATTGAGGCAATATTGTTTTCTGCACATCAACCTTATGCCATTTGTTTGTATTCCCAAATAACCCACCATGGAAAATATGTAATAGCATTTTCTCCCTTATATGTATGTAACTTTCCTTTAAAAGCTTTCATGCCTAAAACCCATAACTATATGAATAATTTTCCCACTTACTTACAAAAATTCTTAAGTATGATTTTGAGAAATCTTGTGTATTATATGTATGCACAGGAACATACTTCTAAGTTCAAAATAAATCCCATAACTCAAAATAATTGCAAGATATTTGTTTCAAAGTATTACAGTAAATACTAGTCTTTAGGTAATGATTTTATATGATATAACTGTTACTAACAGATGGAATGTTCAAGAATTCCCTTGTCATTTACAGGTACACATGTCATCTGGGAGTTAACAGTGCCTGTGCTCCTAAGCCATTTAAGAATATGTTTTAAAAGCGCATGAGTATCATTTGACATAGCAGCACCAAATGCCTTTTAAGCTTAAGACACAAGAAGTGGACTTTTTTAATCAAGGATACATACCTACAGGGAGGGACAGCTATTTGACTTTGGCACTCTAGATTCACTTCATAGGCCAGAGAGAAAAAAAGATACCCATAGTATGTGATAAATCTCATCCTAAAGTACACATCTAAAATAAGTTAGATGATTGCAAGCTGGAAGCTCCTAAAAATCTCTACAATGACTGCCGATTCAGAAGTTACTGCTTTGAAAAGCAGTAATTCTTATTATTGCTTTGTAATAATGGCCATTCTTTGATTCTGAGAAGTATTCATTTCATAGAAGAGCTTCAAAGCAGATTAAGGAAATGCCTTTTAAATTGGATAAGATTTGGATTTCTCATTCCCAAGGCTCTTTTGAAAGTGTTAGCCTTTGAGTTTGTTCAGGACTTGTCTTCACCTTGACATTTCAAGAAAAAGTCATGGTTTTCCTTCTGTTTTCTACATTTGTTCCTTCTCGTCTTCAGTAGTACTGTTCACCAATAATTACTGGTTACACCTGGTTTTAAAATACAGATGTGTCACAGGAAAGGCACAAGACTGTATCCTTCAGAATATAAGCCTGACTTGTTCATCAGTTCATGGTGTCGCAGAATTTGAGCACAATAAATAATCTTGTCTCGAGTGCACTACCTTCTAAGCTGTTAACTTTGCTTTAAACACTGTTATAGCTGCAAGAGGCATTGTATTAGGTAGATATCTATACCAGGTATATAGCTATCAAAAGTTTAATTTTGGAAAAAATCATGAGTAATTGGAAATAACATAGTACAAGTGCTGCAGATCTGTGTAATTACAGACTGATCAATGACAAAAACAACCACCTAGGTTTTTTTTCCACTTACCTGCTTTAAAAAAATCTGACAACATTGACAGAAAAATCCTGAAAAATTCAATGTGGTATTCAAACTTTGTCTCCCTTTCAAACAGAATTCTTTCTATGAGGGAACCTTTTGTGTTTTCCAGTAATCGATGAGAGACATTTTGTCTTATTATTTTTATTATCCCTATAAAAATGTGTTAAAAGTCACCCTATAATACATCTAAGGTTTGATTCCTCTTCTGCCTTTCTTTGTCTAGAAAGATTTCCCCATTACCTTTAGGAAAAGCTTTCACATTTTAGCCTCATTTAACTCCTCCCCATGAAGATGTAATTTCCTCTACTTTTAAAAGTAAGAGGAGTATGATCAATATTTCTCTGAAAGATTAGCTTCCTGAAAGATTACTTTTCAACTACATGTTTTACTCTTTTCAAACCAAGGATATTTTTTTCTATAGAGAAATACATAACAAAAAAAAAAAAAAAAGGCAAGTGCAGATATTCAAATATTCACTTCACGCTTCTCTACTAGGTGGTACTTATAAGCACCAGGAGATTGCTATTGAAAAGCTATCTTCATTGGGTCACTCAAATCCAGAAAACAACAAATAGTGGGAGAGGAAGCTAAGATGATTGTGGCAGAAGAATTTTAGAATTTGGTCTACCATATAAATTTAGTGGAAAGGCAACAGGAGGACTACTTAAATATAGATTACTGAAAGAACATAACTGCAGGAAAATAAAACACTAAAGTGTAAAAAAATTTTTTTGCACTTTAGTTAAAATGACTTTTGTTATTAAACATACTGGGTGGTGGTTAGGTTTGATAACGTGTTCTCGAACAGTGAGTTTGAGAACTATAATCCTTCATGCAAATCCTTATGACAAAGAGACATTATTTTGGACTTTCAGAGACAGATTTTGATATCTTTCTATTTGTATTGTTACCATGATACCATTCCTCTGACTTTAAGAAGTCTACCTGAGCAGTGAGATGTTATGTATTAGTAATATGTATTAAAAAGTTATTGTAAATTAATGAGATACAGATTTAAAAAAAAAAAAGCAGACAAAAAAATGTGCAGTTGAATATCTCATTCTAGAGTTTAGAAGGTTCAGTTCTTAAAATATACCTAACTCCAGTGAGAAAAGGAGTACTTGCACTGTTACAAAAGGTTTACACCCTATTCCTCTGGTAGTTTTACAAACTAGAAGTTAGCCAAATAGGTCATCTTGATTAATAATCTGGATTAATGTAATTTCACATTGTTTCTGAACTTAACATCATTCAAGCATGCAAGGAATTTACTACAGTCAAAAAAAGATTACTAGAACATAACTTTCAGTTTTGAGGTTTATTTTTCTCTTGTTATCTTAGAGTTCCTGAAGGGCTATCCATCAAACTGAATTTTACTTCTTTTGATACACAACAATATGCAGACAATTTAAATATTTTTGAAGGTATAGGACAAAACAAGATTTTAAGAGGTAAGGTTATTTTTTAGCTAATATTACTTTTCTGTTAATAAAATTTAAGTGGTAAAATAAGAGTTTCGAAGTGAAAAAAAGTGCATGCATATGTTTAAGTGGAAGAATGCATCTGTGTAAAGTTACCCTGTTAGACAATTGATCTTGATATACTTATCTACTCTTATGAAGTCACCAGATAAATGCTTCCCTAATATATTAAGAAATCTCTATTTTTTTTTAAGATCTTCTTTGAACAATCTTGATAACTTGACCAGAGGCGTGGTCTTGTGAAGTCCGTATTTCATTGAAATATGTTGTCAGAAGATCCTGTATCACAGACTGTAACATAAAATGAAAGCATCTAAACTGAAACTGTTGGGAGAACTACTATGATACTCCCTGGAATTCATTACGAGCATGGCATTGCTTTCCTCAGACCTTGAAATATGGATGATACCTTATCTCTGTCTCTATATTCTATCATGGAAAACTGGGATTTTGCCCAGTTTTCACAAGACTCAATATATCCAGTGGAATTCCATCAGAAGTGGAAAACATACAAGATCAATATATAGATAAGTCAGAAAGATATTATTTATACTTATTTTCGGAAACAGGGAGAGAATGGGAATGAGAAATAGTACAAGACTCATAAAATAAAGAATGGAGAAATTCTACCCTTTCACTGCTGCTTTGAGTTAAAAGGTTGGACTCGATGATCCCAGACGTCTCTTCCAACCAAATCGATTCTGTGCTTCTGTGAATTTGACCCCTCTTTGAAATTTCAATTTAGACATGAGAGATTGCTTCAATAATATTCTCTGCAGCAACCATTAACGTGCATGGTTTTAAGGACTGCTGTGGGGATCACCACTGATACCACAAAGACATAAAGACAATGTTAAAGACTGTCCTTCACTGGATTGTCTAAAGCTCTGCCGTTTGAGGGGTGGATTTCCAGGTGTTGGAAATACTAAATGTAGAGGAAAGAAGGACTACAAGACATTTCCAGGTTAAGAGTCTCTACTTAAGTAAGTAAAAGAACCTGAAAAGGAGGAAGGAAAATAATGCAGATATTATTAAAAGTGTGAAAGATGATGCCTATTGTTTTTCCTTAATAATTTGGCACTGTTTTGAATATATAGTATTACAAGTAGGTAAATAGCTCCTCCTCAAAAAACCAAAGTCTCTCTATCATGCAAAATTGGGCAAGGACTTCAGAAGAGAAAGAAAGGAGGCAAAAACTTTCACGGAACAGTGAGGAACTTAGGATTTTCTTTATCCTGAGTAACAGTCACTAGTCTAACTGTTGTTGCCTGGCATCATATCAGCTTTAGATGGAGGAATGACTGTTTTACTATATCATGACTCGTATTAATCCTTTCATTTCACACATATGGAATTTATATGAGTGAATTTAATTTAGAATTTAAATTCAAAATTTAGATACATTGTACCATAGAATCATAGAACTGCCCAGTTGGAAGGTACCTTGAAAGATCCTCTGGTCCAACCTTTCATGGGAAAGGGAGCCTGGATGAGATTATTTAGCACCCTGTCCAGTCGCTGCTTGGAACATTGCAATTGTTCCTGTGCTATATGCCTTCATACACACATCACAAAAGGAAATTCCTTTGTAATTTCGCAGTTTGCTTATTCTTTAACTATCTGTAAGTGTATGTGCTAATTATTAAACTGTGAGAGTAAGTATATATAACAAAAATATGTAACCAATACTGTGATTCTAGGGTTTCAGAGTCCATATCTGTAAATTTTGAGAACATTTACAGCATAATAAGCATGGATATGAAGATTATAGTGTTGAATATGTGTACTATAAGAGAGGTTTCTCCATTAACTGATATCCATATTGATGGATAAGAGGATGGGATATGTAGAATACTCATATGGCAGCCAAACTGCTAAATGCCTTCAGGGGTTTGTAGCTATTATAGGCAGGATCACAGTACAAGAGGGAAAGCATTCTTTAATACTCAAAAAGCTAATCCACTGTATTTTTGTGACAGCACTGGGGATTTTAATGAGCATGGGATTGTTTTCTCTGTGACTATATTATTCTTTATCTGTTCTCAGCTTCTCTGTCAGGAACTAATCCTGAGACAATTTACATTTTTTCTCATGAGGCTACAGCACAGTTTGTATCCGATTATTCTGAAAATTACAATGGCTTTAACGCAACGTACACTACATTTAATGCAAATGAACTAAATAGTAAGTGTTCTTTTTTTGCGTATGTGTTTGTTTGTTATCCCAAATGTTTGATGAAAATATATTTTCAGTTTGACAAAATGGACATGAAAAGGGAAGTGGTATTTTCTGGCCTCAGTCTACTAGCTAAAGCCACTTTGCAAAATTTCATACTATTTTAAAGATCAAACCACCGATTTCAATAAGACTGTCCACAGGTTTACAGGCCTGTATCCAGCAGTAGGGTGATACCTTACCAAGTTGATCTGTTTAATGAAGAGTAAAACTCTGGCCATATCTCCATCAGATTCCTCTAGGCCAGTTTGTTCACTAATAAACGCTGTTGAATCGCTGACACTAATCATTATTCTCTAATCACCTGACAGTACCTGCTCTCCAGAGTTTCTGATGTCCTAATTCATTGCTACAAGTAGTGGTCCCAAATAGCAAAACTAACATTCAGGAAAATATCTGCTTCAGTAAACAGGCATTGGGAAAAGTCTAGATGCAGTATATCTACAGTGACAACAAAATTCAGCAATATGACCCATGCGTTGGTGTTCTTTAGTAGCTGGAAAAAAATTTAGACGCAGATTGGACAAGTGAAGGCTTCTTCAGCTGCTAAATTTTGAGCAGGATGTGAACAGGGGATGTGATTGGGAAGGGATATGCTGCAGGAAACATCCACGGTGTCAGCAAACTGTTATTGTGTGGAAGCCCTTGCTGGGGGCTGACCTGCATTTTTAAGGCACCATGAAATATGAGCAAAATATCAAGAGAAGAAGAGTGATGAGGATGCTGCAGCAAATATATGTGAGCAAAGGAGAAGGACAAGGAAAGGGGCAACTCTGGTGCATGGAGCACAGTATTTATCTTCAGAGCATTCAGCTCTGGTGGTAAGCCCTTTCAGCTGGAGTAATCCAGGTCTTGGCACGGAGAAGAGCAGGGTTAGCCCTTAGTGTTAGCTGTGCAAGTGGTCCTCTCTCATTCCCTCACTGCATTGCTGGTGAAGGATCAAAAAAGAAGGTTGATGAATGAGTGCAAGAGCATGTTGGGCCACCTTCAGCAACAGTGTTTTGTTAACAAGTACAAACGACACATTTATTTGAGTAGTTATGTTGCATTGCATAGAAGAGGAAACTGAATCACCATGGGCTCCAATTTTCAAACATACTTTAAAATTTACTTTGTTTGTCACTCATTCTTCTATAATTTTGAGAAAATACTTAACATCTCTGTCATTTTTATTTACTAGAGGTTCTTATTCACAGATTATGAGAAAGTCAATTGCACTTTTGAAGACGGCTTTTGTTACTGGATACAATTTTTACATGATGATTCAGACTGGGAGAGAGTTCAGGGTCCTACCTTTCCCTTTATGAGTGGTCCTGACTTTGATCATACATTTGGCAACGTGTCAGGTAAGATCAAATACAAGGTGCTCACAGTTTCAAGTAAAAGCTTGATTTAGCTTATGTTATACCACTGTACGATGGATGCTTCATAGTGGTATTATTGGGATTTAATTTTATTCTGCCATAAAAATGAGTCAGGGCTACTAGATAAAACATTTTACCGATTGCCGTCTTGTGGAAACATATCAAAACTAAAAGAAGAAATAAAGGAATATATAAAGTGATTAAAGAGTGAGGTGCTGAGAAGTTTCAAATCTATTAATATGCCAAAGTGCCTTATCTGAGAAAGGCATTTCTATTATGCAACAGTGTTATAATAACTGCATGTTTACCTTTAGGAAAAAAAACAAGTATAATTACATTTTAGGGAAATCACTTCTATTTCATCCTTATCTACTGGTGATATCCTCACAGTTCCCACAGAATAATTTTGATTTAACATGAAGTTGACCTGCAGGTTACATAAGGCATCTGTGTCCCCAATTACAGTCGCACACCAAACACACTAATTTTCAACATATGTACAAAACACACAAGTACTCCAGCAACTGCTATAGCAAAACAATTTAATTTGAAGAGTCATCATATCAAAAGTGGATTTTAATTAAAGAGACAATACTCATAGGAATCAGATTTTGAATGTGAATCATGAATATTTATCCCAGAATTAGACTCCAAAAGTTTTTCTCTGCTTCAACAGGAAAACCAAACAATCTTTTTCTCAGATGATTATAGACTCCAAATGTTTTTTTCTGCTTCAACAGAAAAACCAAACAATCTTTTTCTCAGATGATTCATCAGTCCAGCTAAAACTAATTAACATAATTTGGATTTTGCAATGGTTATATGTATTCTATACAAGACATACAGAACTTCCTCAGTGACAAATAACTGGAAAAATTGCAAATTATTCTGGAAGAAGTTACACCCAGGGAAAGAAAAATATTATTCAGCACCTTATTGGATAGAAATTATTCACCCCTCTCTGAGTAAACGCACATTTTCTAAACAATCTTCAGAACACTGTTTTATCTTCCCACTTGACTCTTAGAATACAAATCAGATGAAAGAATGTAAAATTTGTTTAATAAAACACTTGACAATGATTTCTAGCTCTCTTGAAAATGCTAATTTATCTTAGGTGTTCTCTGTTTCACTGTGCTAGATCTAAGCTGACATGTAATGTTGCTATATGTAATGTTGCTATTATATTGAATATTCAAATTTCTATGACCTGCATTTGAAGTAAAAATGTGAACTGCATTATTAATATGTAGCTATACATACATTCAATGAGACAGTGTATTTTTATTTTGCTGCTCTTGAAAAGCAAAGGACTTAATACATACTCAGCAATTGATTCTGAATGCTCAGAGAATTGATGAAACAAAGACAGAGAACTGCCACTTTGACTATATGGAGACCTTTTCTGAAAAAGAATGCTATGCTCATTTTCTTACAGTTAGACACCATATATATTTTAAAGCATGCTTTCCAAGTCAACACAGGAAATGAAAGGCCTGATTCAGATTTCAGACTAATTTTCGGGTACTTTAACATCCCGCATTAAAAAAACTAGCTAAGTATAAATAACAGAATATAGTACATATAATTTAAATTATATAAATACATTCCTATTTACTTGCAGATTCTATTACTATAATATTGCATATTATGTATTAGATAGATAGAATAAAATCTAACTTTACAGCTATGATTTTAATAAAGCAAGAATTTTATTCTAGGACTTTTAACTCTGCCTAATTTTTCTTTTCTTGTGACAAATCATAATGCTTCTGTAGCCTGGTCTTGCATTGTATTTCCATACGACAGCAAGAAGTCGAAATTCCCAGCTGTAAGGAATTAACTCAGAAAAAGCTAAAAACTCGATTTCCCCAAATAATATATTTTTCTTGTTTATAATGCTTCACCTTGCTATTAAATATTCATGTAGTCATTCTCTCACCCTCCTCAACACACAACCCATATTTCCCATTATTATTTGGATAATCGTCAGGAAATTTGGAACGTCAGGAAATCCTTCTGCAAAATCACAAGCAATGTCAAACAGGAAGACATTTTTATAAACTAAGTAGAAATCGCTCAGGTGAATCGCTGCTTTCACTAAATAAAAAGCAGATCTCCTGCTGACTTCAAAAGGACTAGTTTCTCATTTCATGTCTAGTTCTGAGGAGTGTCCGACAAGCTTAAAAGCTCATTTTAATATGTCGTTGACTGATGAATATTACTTGGGATAATCATTCACATTTATTGTGTCAGGAATCTTCCAAGTCATGCAACACTATCTGTGCTGGATATTATTTATATTACTTTTAATGTTAAAATGCTCATTTTAAAAAAAAAAAAAAAACAGTAATTCTGTACTGATTAAAATGTGTTCATTATCTTGCAGGATTTTATATTTCAACACCTATAGGACCTGGATTCGGAGAAGAGAGAGTCCGGATTCTGAGTTTGCCTTTGGTCTCTTCAGATTCATCTTGTCTAAGCTTCTGGTATTCTTACAGAATTCCTAAACATATACTTTGCTTAAGAGTAAAACCAAATAGCTTTCTTTCATATATAATATTGATCCAAGTCAGTGTGCCAGCAATACGAGTCTGCTTCTGTTTAGATTTCCATGACCAGTCTCAACTCCAGGCCTGAAACTTTGAGTCCTTTATAGGTTTGATTCTTGCAGTTAGCTTTAACGTATTTTCTTTTTCACCCTGCATCCAATATTCATTTCTATACAGAAATTATATTAAGAATCCCTGAAATGTTTTTTGTCATGAAGCTTAACTAGACCTCTGCACAAAATATGGCAAAGTACCAAGTAAAACTTCCAAGTGTAATCTGAACCTATGATCCATGTTATTTTCATGCTCACTGCAAATTAGTCCTAAGTCCTTAAAACTGCTTATAAAATAAAAAGCATGGTACTTTTTCATGAAATTTCAGTTGGTTCTAATAATACCAAAATTACTCTTCTGCCTCTAGGTATTTCATGTACGGTACTAATGTTTACCGTTTAAGAGTTAGCATAAGTAATGAGCACGGTTTGGAAAAGATCATTTTCCAGAAAGAAGGAAACTATGGAAACAGCTGGAATTATGGACAAGTAACTTTAAATGAAACATCTGAATTTAAGGTTTGTTAAACTGCTGGTTCTTTTTAAAATTTATTTTAGCTAAAATGATATCACAGTTTTCTGCCAAACGAACCCAATCATCTACAGCTCCAAAGAAAATATCTAGTACTATTTACTAATGCATGACGTCAAAGAAATGTTAGTACGCAGGAGTGGAGTCACCATTTGAATTGTCATCCCCCCCTTTCGCTACTCTGGAGTTTAAAGTATTATTGTTGTAGAAAAGAGAAGACCTTAACATTGTCATGGGACAATCAATGTTATCATGAAAGAGTGCTTTCCACAAAACAAGGGTGTTCAAAGCCTGTCAAAATCTGATGTGGAGTTTAAAATCTCAAAAGTGAGTGTGATACGAAGCGCTGAGCCATGAGAAGATTTAAATTAAATAAGTTCATGTTCTGAAGCAGTATTTTCACTAATTAATTACAGAATAATTCACCCAAAGTGTGTTCCAGAAGGAACTGTATTTGGCAGCATTTGGTTAACAACTGACCTGACTTACCTGTAAACAAAAGGAGGAGACTTATGCTAGACAGTTCCTTTTGCAACTCTCTAAAAAAAACTGTTTCTTTTTATAGGTATTTAGGATGGCTCATCCTGCTATAGTAGTTTTGATTGATGCAAAAGCACTGCCAGAAAGACGCATTTACCGTCTGAAGAAGTAAATGCATCTGTGACCTGGCTGCATCAGATTTCCAGCAAATGTGTGTTTTATGATCTCAAAGAGCGTGCTATACCTAGCTGTATTTCACCAGCACAAATTCTTTGGTAGCAGGTTTACTTTAAATATGTGTATATTAAAGCACAATAGCAAGCAAATGAGATAATTTCAATTTTTCATGGAGACGTGCCATTAGATCAGGAGAAGTTTGGACTGATGAGATGAGGGATACAGAATTTTTGTTTCAAAAATTACATGTATTTATATATACAAAGTAAAGTTATTTAATAGTTTTAAATCATGTTCATCATTTATACGAAGAAGTTCCTGCATTCCTTAGAATGATCCACTCAGTTTACATAATGCTATTTTGTTTTGCAAGAAATCCTGTCTTGTCCCAGGTGCTCTCCTCTGAGCATAGCACCAGTGTCGATTACAGTGGAAATAAGAGCATTCAGGAAAGAAGACAGAATGTTTGAGTATAGGAAGCTGAAAAATGTTTCATTAAACTATAAAGTTCTAATTTTTTTTCATGAACTTCAGGTTATTTTTGACGCCTTTAAGAAACGTGGTCCCAGTGATATTGCCTTGGATGACATTGGCTTGACAAAGGGAAAATGTAATGAAAGTATTTATGTAGAGCCAACCAGGATTCCAACTGTTACTACTGTCCCTTCAGTTCCTAGTAAGTAAACACTAAATTACAGTTGATCTCCATTTCCTATTACTATATTTGTGTATCAGTGATTCAGAATTTCTAACCTTCAGTTTTATAAAAACCTTTCTTCAATATTATAAAATTATCTTCAGGATAACACATTAGGGATCATGTTCCCTGCCCATGACTCCATTGATAGCAACAGAACTGGCAGATTCACAGCTTAAGCTATCATTACAGTATCTTCCAAAACTTGAAGAGTGGAGGATAATTAAAGAATTCAGAATTTGTCTCTAAAAGATTTAATTAGTAAAGCTTCCAGTAAGCCACTGAAAGAAAAGGAAGAAGAAAGAGAAGGAGGATTATAACCTCTGTATTTGAAATTACAGGCCATGTAGCAGGGGAATATGAAAATGAGCAAAGTCTTATAATAATATCACCAGAGGTCTCAATAGTAAAAATTCACCAAGCTCTGAGAACATATGCAGGCTGAAAACTCCCATGTTTAGGGGAGAAAACCTATAATAGCGCTGGAATGGTTTAAGAATGGAGCACGAGCTATGTGAGTGTCTAATACCCAAAACAGAGGCATTATCTGGAACAAGGCTCACAATGAATGAGTTCTTTCCAATATGCATTTGGCTGTATTGTTATTCCTAATATATCTGATTACATTAAAAAGGAAGAAGAAAGCAATATTTGCTTTGAAAAAAAATTTACATAGGGAAACAGAAAGGACAGAAGGATATTTAACAGTTCTTCTGGTTTCAGTGGACAAAAAAAAAAAAACACCCACTATCAAAGGACCCTTTCCATTCCCTGATCTACTGAGAGATTTCAATATTCGCATAAATTATGGAAGGTGTCAAAATGTAAGCCTAGTTTCTTCAATTTTGCCTTTGCTAACTCTATTCCTTGTGGTAAGGCAGGAGTAATGAATAAGTGCTTGCTCTAGTAATAATGAATGGGACTTCTTTCCTGCTTGAAGCAACCTCGTCTAATTTCATCTCACTATCTTCGTGGCACCTCTTCTGAACCCCAAGTTCAGTGGGAAACTGGAGGAGAGTTGGTTTTGTTTTCACATTTTTGCCCTCTTCTCCAAGTCAAATGAAAGTTAAGGAAAAACAAAACATCACTACCTATATCACGTATACACTTCTCCAGACAGGTTGTACACTTGATCTAGACCCATTGTGTTGCAGAGTCTTTTAGAGGAAAACACAAAGATTTAAGCCTCATCAAAACATTCCAGTTTCACAGAGCTAGTTAGAAGAATCTCATTAAGAAAAATATGAAAAAATACCTGCAGCCATCATTATAAATCTGGAAAGTGTATATAAAAAAATGAAGAAAGATCGCATATGATGTTAACCGGATTCACGCAGATTCAAAGTAAAAACTGGTAGAAATATGAATAGAGCTTGTGGAAAACATCATTAGAATATCTGATAGGGCTTTGTAATTTATCATGAAAGAGGCATGAACTTTCTGGAAATAGATTTCTACAAAAGACCTGTTCACAGATGGCTTCAAATCATTAAAACAAAGAGTGAGTACGTTCCAGGCCTGCCTCCTATTAGATTTACTGTCACTTACAAAGCTAGTTGCTCTCTTGACAGCATATAGTAAATAAAAATGGTCTAAAATTAAAATAATAGAAAAAGACTATTTGCATTGTATTCATGTTAAAGAACTATGTACTATTATTTTCACTCTATCAAATCTATCACCTCTAAATCTACTGCATCAGGACAGGATATTGCCTTGGATGACAGGACAAGAAAACAAAACCTTCTAAATATAAGAGTAAAATTTAGTTTTAGAGTTCCATCCTGAGACACATGAAGGTAAACTTCACCAAGATGTTTCTGTCAGCAAAATTAAGTTTTAATAACACTAGTAATTTCAGTCATACTTACAAAAGTGAGTTTTAGAATTTGATTGCGGTTTTCATTAAAGTAATACTGTGAAGAGGTGCCGATGTCGGCCACCTCCAGCCATCTTTCAGGTGCCATGGGTAAACACACCTCACAAGTTAGCATCAGTCTAATGATTAGTGGTAGAATGACCCTGTGGTAAATAATAGCTGAGTACTGCTGTCAAAACACCAAAGAAATGTCATTCAAACTATAGATCTCTACCCAAACATGGTGATAAAGTTTTAATATTCAAAAAAAAAGGAAGTGGTCATGTGGCATATAACTCCTTATGAAACTGATTAGAGAGGATCCATGTTGTACTTCAATATGATACAAAAGCACTGTCTAAGCTGCCACTGGGGAAAAACTAACTAGTTTGCATAACTTTGTTGAGGCATGCTAATACACTATAACCTGCTGGAAAAAAAAGTGAATGTTATCAATCATCTTCAAAGAAGTATGAAATTACTTTGATGGATGTGGTGCAAGCTTACTAACACTAATGGTTTCACTACAAATGTCACATCTATAAACAAGAGATGAAAGAATTTGAGCTGAGCCAATTTCTTTTGCTAGACTTAAAGCTTCAATAAGAGGCACTGGCATCATTCACAGTGCCACAAAAGCTCATTGAAAAGTCAAAAAAAATTTTGGGGGTGGGATAGGGAAGCTGGATTTGCTTTTGTCTTTTGCACAAGACTGTCAGCTTACACTTTCATCTAAAACAAAGATTGCTTTCATCTTCATATTCATTTATAATCTGTCTTTTAACATAAACAACAGTGTGGAAATTACAGTGTAGATTCCACACTTAAGATGTGCATGTCAATGTAAATTCAAGTTTTGGCCAAAGCACAGAGGACTTTTTTCATTATATCATTTTTCATTATATCATTTATCATATATCATTTTCTATAGTGTTGAGAAAGTCATCTATTATGCTTAATGAAAGGATCAAGATTATTGGTGCTGATTGCTATTTGGTTCTCTAAAGAGTGACAGCTATATGAAAAACCCCATATAAAATTGTATTTAAAGATCACTGAAAATCTTTAAAACATTTCTTCCAGACATGAGTAAAATCAATTACTTGTATCGTTTTTCCATGCAAGAGAAAGAAGATCGTTACTAGTGTGCCTTACATGTAGTCAACACCAGATCAGATTTCATCATAAGTTGCCCCTGTTCTCCTATTAAGAAAGTTGTGTTTGCTCTGCTCATGTCATCAGGTGATACTGGCTAAGAATCATATATTCTTCATGCAGCTTTACAATAGTTGTGTGTCTGTTTGTACATGCAGTAACGTTCCATTAAAAAAGCCAATGTAATCTTTATTTGTTACTAATGGTATTTACAGAAAGTAGTCCTCATTGTGAGCCATATGGCTGAAACATAATATACTTGTTAGTCAGTGTGTGATTGTTAACAGTTCCTTTTTCTTTCAGAAAGTTCAGCTTTTCTTTCCAAGAGTGATTTAGTGAAATAGAAAGCTCTATAAGATGGCTGTCATGAGGAAGTTGAAATCTTTCTTGTATTTAGTGGAGCTTCCTCCCAGTGGAATTCAGTGGGCAAACTCAATAGGGCTGGAGATTATGCAGTCCCCAATCAAGTGGTTCAGAGTATGCAATACTGACAGACATAATGAAACACAAAATTTGAGCCATAACAGGTGGTGAGCGGAGGAGTGTTAAAGTTTAGCCAAAGTCTAATTGTAAAAAAAAAAATCAATTTTAATTCGAAGAATAAAACAACAACAGAACAAAATAACAAAGGTAGATTTCTTCTGCCTTACCTTCCATTTGCTGAAGCAAGTGGAGGAGCACTGTTTATTTCTGAATAAAGTAATTGCAAACAACAGAAGTGAGAAAACACCAAAGTTCATTCTGATGTTACAGCTGAAATGAAAATAAACAATATTCCTTAATATGAAGTAAAGTTTTGGAATACAAGGCTGACATATTTTGGATGTAAAGCATCATCTAAACTATATACTGAAAGAGAATATTGAATATATAAAGTACAGTCAGCTGTGTCTTTGTGTGAGTGTATGCGGGTGTATGCATATCTACAATATTTTCTTTTAGATAAATACCATTCATTTTTCTATGTGCATGCATATTTGTGATCAGGACCTTTCTTATTGGAGCAGTTGTTTCAAGGAAAAAGCAAATGGTTACTTTTACCATTTACAAGGTTTAACTGTAAAAGTTTTTAGGGTCCTGATGAAATCAAAATAACAGTATAAGGGGTTTTTGCTATAAAGTTTATTTGATAGACGACAAAATGCACTTTATACTTGAGTATCTCTGCTAATGCTGCAAGATTAATCAGATAATAAGCAAGGCATACAAGCTAAGTGCTTAAATAGGTTATATGGGGGGGCGGGGGTGAGGGCTTTCCTCTCTCTCTCTGACATTTTCTAGTTCTTATATTAATGTGCTAGTAAATTATACAGTTGACTGTATCACGTTCTTTTCTTATTATTTTCTGTCATGTGCACAGTTTGCAGACTAATAATCACCAAATGAAGAACAGACTGTCTCCTTCCCCTAACTATACGGGGAAGAGTTCTCATAGCACCATCATGAATACGGTTGTGCACCTGGGCACTAGCACTTCACAAACAGCAATATATGAACTATAGATGTAGATAACGCTATGGCATCGATTGTATGTGTCAGCAGGTCTGACTTAGACACTGTAACTAATAAGGACAGTGAAATTCTTAAACACCTTGTTTCCTCAATGCTCTGGTTCCTTACTGGAGTGTTGGCTTCTCACAATTCATTGTTCAAGTCTTATACCAATGGCACTGTAACCAAACATTTACCACGACAAAGTTAGCTTGAATACCCTCTTCATAAAATTACTTTTTCCAAATTATCTTTGTTACAACGGATTGCAAAAGTAAGACAATAGGTTAATTGCATTTTTGAAATGCTTTCTTTTTCAGCTGACTGTGGAGGGCCAGTTGAACTCTGGGAGCCAAACAGTACATTCAGCTCTGAAAACTTTCCAAACAATTACCCTAATCAAGCTTCTTGTAAGTCATTCTTCTCCAAATCTTCAGGAAAAGTTTAGCCATATAAAAGTAGAGATACTAAATCTGCTTTCTGAAGTCAGATGCTGACAAGCAAAAAAACCCTAAGCTACATACAGTGTGATCTTTTAACAGAAGTCCATATGGCATCTAGCAGAAGCTGAGGAATCATGTGCCAGTTGATTAAAAAGTGATGAAGACAAGCATAATCCCTTGGAATGGGTTCAGACAGGCCAATTCTATCACTCCTATTATGTCAAATATCCTTATGTCAATGCAACAACAGACAAGGTGCTGAAAGTCCCCATTTTACCATTACACCTCAATGTATTTGCTAGGTTAATATCACCATCTCTGCTGTTAAATAGTTAACCTTTTCTAGGGGCAAAGAATGTGTGTATGTATTTTGCAAGGGATCCTCTCTTTATTAAATGTTTCTTAACATACTAGTGAAAAGACATCGTTATTCTACTAATGTTACTAGATTTAAATTAAGCTACAGCTGGCAAAAGAGAAAATGTTTCAAGGTGGTCCACTAGATGCTGTTATGGATGAAGCAAGGAAGAGAGCTTTGTCATTGCTTCTTAATGAAATTTTAATTATCCATTACTTCACCTTTAACTGGAGAATTGTGTTTGGATACTAATCACAAGAGTTGTAATTTTGTGTTTCTGTCCCACCTGAGACACAACTTTGATTTCCAGATATTAATTTCACAAGTTCCCAGATGAGATTCTTAGTACTGAGAAAATACTTTTCATTCTATGAAGAGATTAAAAAATGGTTGGTCTATTTAATTCCTTTACAAGATTTCCATGGTATCCATATTTACATAGATTAAATATGATAAAGCATAGGCTAAACAGAAGCAAATACTTCTCTAAAAAGACATCTAACTTGAAAGACAGGCTTCTGTCACTGATTATAGAAATTATCTTACTATCAAATAAGACTTAAATGACAAGACTATTTGTCACATTTTCACAGTTAAAAAAGAATTAGCTTTGCTACTTTAGGGAAACTCACAGTTGTCATGAATGGTGAAAAAAAGGATATGTGTGTGTCTTAGGATCCTAAATCCAGTTTTCAGAAGTGTTTTAGAGAATGAGAGTCAATTGAATTTTGGATCTTGACAGCATAAGTTGCTTTTAAAGATAAGATTTAGACTTCTAAGTCTCTCGGGTGGTTCCTAATAGTTTAGCAGAGATTTTTTTTGCCCCCAAATCCTTCAATGTGAAAATGACACAGTAAATGTAACAACTGAAAAGGTTATTTTTGTGTGTGTGTGTTATTATTTTCTAGGTGTGTGGTACTTAAATGCTGAAAATGGAAAAAACATTCAACTTCATTTTCAGATTTTTCATCTGGAAAATATTTATGATGTAGTTGAAGTCAGAGATGGCAGAGGACCAAATTCCTTACTTTTGGGCAAGTAACTGCATTGGGTACTAAAATGAATGTAATCAGACAGCTGGAGCAAACTGATGGATATAATTTAAAAGAAATTAATTCTCTTTAATTTCATTCTACATTTCTTCACATTTTTGGGTCTCAGAAATTAGAAGGAAAACTTCAGAAAGCATACTGTATGTGACATCACATTCCCCAAATGTTTGCACACACTCAGATTTCTATGCAATCCAAATGAAATTAACTTCTCAATAAATAAGACTGGTCATGTATGTGGACAAACAGAAGCATAATCTCTTAGTCAAATCTCTTATTTTTCTATATAGGTATGTCAAATTTGGGGTTGAGCTTTGACCATTGCAGTCTGATAGCAGTTAGGTTTGGGGGAATAAGTGTATTCACATGGTAGCAGTATTTCCTTTTGAACCTAAAACATTCTGAAATACATAAAACCAAAATAGCTTAAATGTATTCGTGTTCTCCTGGAGAATAGCTGTCTATACAGGACAAGACCCATTGCCAGATGTCTTCTCTACAACAAACCAGATGACAGTAATCCTCCTTACGGACGAGACTGCAACAAAGAAGGGATTTCTTGCAAACTTTACTACTGGCTACCGTCTAGGTAAGCATATGAACCCTTGTATTTAAGAGGTTATACCACTGGTCAAATACATTTGAGAAAAAGTGGAGAGTGGAGGGTGACTTTAAGCCATTGATCAACAGAAATATAAAAAAGTTAAAGAGAAAAAGCCTAGCAGTTACCCATCCGTACTTTACATTTTCTAGCATGAAAAGTGATGGTTTTGTTGCTTTATGTAATTGGACCAATGTCTGTATCATCTGCAACACTGAGTGATATTATGCAAAAAATTGACTCAGTATTTTGACTGAAATCTATTCAAATGTTAAGAAGGTAAATATGAACTATTCCTTATACAAGCCCCCGAAAAGAATATCACTTTGTGACTCATTTGAAGGTATCATTAATGTTTGTTTAAATGCATTTCTAAAATATTTATTATGGATCACATCCACTAGAAGGGAAAAATGCATATGGTAACTCTGATTAATGTTTGCAATACGGTCCCTCTTGCATCTTTAAAAATTTGGTCCTTAACGTGTGAAGGATCTGGGAAGGGTTAGTCTTTTAAATATTTGGGCAGCAGTGTTTCTGATCCCAGCCAGTCCTCTTCTGAAAGACTCCTCGTTTTGTTGGGGACTGCAATTAGACTTGTCACTCATATAAGTAATTCAGCAATCAGCTCTCCAAAAACATGCAAAATAGAGCTAAATGCTAAAGTACATTGAACAGCAATATGCTTGCCATGACAAATACTTATACTAACTCTAGGCCAAATCTTGACTGAATTAATTAGAGGCTTTGTATTACTTCTGGCGAAGTCTGACAGCAGAAAAAAGAGAAAGAAAAAGCAGTATGTATTCAGAGATGTGTGAAGCACTATTCATTTGCATGAACAGAAAGTCAACAAGAATCTACTCTCTCTTACTTTAAATGTTATAAAAGGCAAGTGTCTCCCAGCATGTTTAGCTAGCTGCAGCTTTTTTATGGATTAACAGTAATAATAATATTAATTTTCTTAATCTTTAAAAAAATCTTAACCATTAATTTGCCTTTGCAAAATCAACTCCGTTTGGTCCCGTTGTGTGAGACTGAGAGGTAGGTTTATATGAACGTTCTGCTGATTCTTGTTCTGCCTTCTCTATCACATTTGTTCGGTCCAACAACACTATGCCTTTTTTTAGCTGGTTCAGCATCTTTGCCGAGCCAGTTTTGGCCATATTTTGTTGTAAAATAAAAATTAAGCTTAGCAAGACAAAGTTCTCAAAGTGACTATTGCCAGTTCTGGTTAAATATATTAAAAAAGTTCCATTTGCAAAAGAATTATGCTTATTCATGATCGTTGAAGCCAAAGGACAGAGACTAATATGATTAACATGCAGGCCCAAGGATAAAAGGATTGTCAATAAATAAACTAATTTTACAAGAAGAGTAGATTTTTCTTTGCATTTTATTTTTCCATGAAATACTGAGTTTTTGAAAAGGAAGCATAATTTGAAAAGAAATACTTTTTGGCAGTATGCAATATAATAAAAAACCTGCCTAGTGAGAACTAAGTTCTACGGAAAATATGGCATCAGCTATGGCCACTGAACATGTGAAAATCTGGTTCAGGCCTTTTACAAGCCATACACTTTTGCTTCCATATTGTACAACAGGACACACTGACTGATGAATGAATCTTTTTATATGAATAGTAAAAATTCAGAAGCAAAGAAATTATCTTGCCTTAAATAAGACTTCTAGATAATTAAATATTTCATTCAGTAAGTCCAGGAACATAAAATAAAGAAAACAAAAAAATTTTCAATAGAATTTAAGATTATAACTGTATATTTCCTGTAAATATACAGAATGGTGCCATTAAAAATACACTTTGGCCGTACAAAGAATTATAACTTTATATTTACTCTCTATATGATCTGCTTTTGTTACAGAACTGATACTGAAGTAGCTTAATCCTACTTTTGAGAATGTTTTCCTCGTTAATTTCTGTTACTTTTGTCTCTTCCACCTTTCCTCCCAGACAGGTTTCGAAAGGACTCTTGTTTTTCACTGCCTCTTTACTTGTATGTTTGACATGATATACTTTAAGGTGCACTTTTGTGAAAGTGCTGAACATCTGAAATTTGAAATCTTTAGTTACTTTTGACAGAATTTGGTTAGGATTTGACTTTTCTCATCCCTCCAGAATTTATTACACATAACAGAAGAACACTAGTAACTGAGCAATACTAACTATAATAGAAAGTACAAGGTATAATACTATAGATTTTATTCTTAATTAGCTTCTATTTATCTGAAAATAATCTTTATTTTGAAAAACAGATGGGAAGGAAAGGAAAGGAAAGGAAAGGAAAGGAAAGGAAAGGAAAGGAAAGGAAAGGAAAGGAAAGGAAAGGAAAGGAAAGGAAAGGAAAGGAAAGGAAAGGAAAGGAAAGGAAACGAATCAAAATTCAAGGAAAGGAAAGGAAAGGAAAGGAAAGGAAAGGTTAGGTTCTATGTACTATCCACTCAATTTTTCTTTCAAGTGAACTGTATAATCTCCAGTGAACATCAACCCTCCTCATAATTATGGATTTATTTTCTTTTCCTGTTCTCCTTCAGGGGCTTGTGCAACTGATGAACATCAGTGTGGTAGCGGGGAGTGTATACCGTTGCATAACCTTTGTGACAACCTACCTCAGTGTGAAGATGGCTCTGATGAAGCAAAGTGCAGTAAGATTTCCTTCATACAAAAAGAAGGAATGCATGCATATTTAGTAGGAATTACCTAGGAAAACAGCCACAAAACCTCAGCCAGTGTAAACTACTGCAGCTGCATGCAGGCTGTGCCAATTTACACAGCAGGATCTCGTTGAGATTGTCAGGGCCAAAAGAACAAAGTGACTTTTCTGAGATAGTGTATGTAAGCTGGTGAAGATCTCTGGAAAAGGTAGGAAGTTCCTCTGTGCTTAAAACTATGGCTACTTACAATGGCCTCAAAATTAAATGAAAGCTCATTGCATGCTTTCCTTCTGTATCCATTTTGTATTCCCAAATTCTATCACTTCTTGCTGTGATTAGTTTGAGTTTCACAGTAGTATGAATTCTGCAGTGTAGGGGAGAGAGTAAGAACTGTCTTGATGGAAATTCCCAGGTAGTCTTGTGGGTGTGAAGCCAAACTGCAGCACATGGCACCCTCCAGTCTGCCTGGACTCCATCTTCTGGAAGCATTGCCACAGGGTGAAGGGATGGCACGGCTGCAAAAGCAGTGTCCATTGCTCATAGTGGATGTGCGTGTTCCTACAACAAGGAGACCAACAGCTGTTATTGCTTAGTCCTCTGGGAAAATTGTTCTTTCCAAAATGTAGGTGTACAGTATATGGCTTCATTTCACATAACATGGAAATAGCATTCTCTAAACAATAATTTAAATGTAAAACTGATGTTAAAGTCACGTTGGGCCTAGCACAGAAATTAAATTGCTGTTTCTGACAAAGTGCTGTTCTGACAATCTATTATGGAGCATTAATGAAAGAGTTAGAAGTGGACTTTTAAGCTCAGTGCAACAACATCTCCCTCTGTTTTAAAGAGGACTTCTAGGGATTAGATATGTCCTTGCATGTGTGCTGACAGTACTCATTGATTTCAATGTCTTTTACATGCATATATATATTTTTGTATATATGGCATATATAAATATATGTATACATACATGTATGTCCGAAGGCAGATTCACTCTTTGCATTAGTGCAATTAGCTATTTTGTTGCAAACATATTCTTCCTTTAAAATGCGTAGAATAAAACTCATTTCAGCTTATTCTTAAGCAAAGAAGACTTGAATGGTTTTTTCCAGTCATTGCTAGACAGGATCTGAACAAGGTAACCATCACCTACATTAACATGATGTACATTTTCCCAAAGATTTATTTTGCCATAGATTGTCTATTACTTCGTAATAAATTAGCTCACATTAAAGGTTTCCAAAACCAGGAATTGTTTCCAAAAACCCATTTAATCCGAACACTGGCTGAATCAATCTAAGCCTTAAAATGAAAATTCAATTAGATATCCTCACATTGAATCTTTTCAGTGTCCAAAAGTCTTGCTCATTTTCCTGAAGCCAATGTCAATTTCTTATCAGAAGTGGCAATTTGAACTAGACAAGCTGTCATTTTCAAATAGTCCAACTTCTGAAACTTCACAGGGACTGCAAAGAGGCACAGAATACTTCTTTCTTTGCAAAATTTTAAAATATATGACATTTGAATTAAGGACTTATTGAGTGCTCAATGACTCTCTTATTCCTTACCAACAATATATTTGGAGAAGAACACGGATCTGATGAGGAGAAAGGAAAAAGAATTATCATTCAAGTAGAAGACAGGAGAGGTGTCAAAAGTTATTTGGAGAAATCTTGCAGTGCAAAAAATTCTGAGATTTTTTCAAGACTGCTCAAAATTTTCTCGTGACTGAGGTTTACCATTAATTAATCACTGTGTATCACTGCTTTCATTCATGCACTCTGGATGCTAAAGAAATATTCCTAAAAATTTAATTATTTTTTTTTTTTTGTACTCTAGTGAGTAAGCTTTACTTTTTTGTGGAAATATTTTGGTGGAATAATGTTTTCTGGACAACTAAGATTTTTAAAAATAGTTATTTTGGCAACCAGTAAATTTCAAATGCATTGTATGTTTTTCCCTACTTCATGCCGGCAATAAGTATCATCTGCCTGAACTGCAGCTGTAGCTCCTGAGACATATACAGGATTCTGTTGACTGTCTTAAACCTTATGGTCCAACTTCCTTAGTCACTGTGCGAATAGAATAAGATTTTTCCACCAAATACTTAATGAGTTTCTGAAAATTTTATGTTGGGAAAAGTTTTGCTAGAAAGATCAGTTTTCAAGGAGCTTTTATTATGTGTGTGTGTTTTAACTAAAGCTGAAATGAAAACAGTGAAAATTCCCAGAGCAATTGGAACTGGAAAATCCAATTTTTCTGTCAGCTCTGGTTTTAACCTTATTTCCAATCAGTGTTACTGAGCATTGTGTAGCTAAATCTTCATACAGTGTCTGGAAATTACACAATGCTGGCTAAGAAAAAACATCGGTTAAAGTTGATGGAAAATGTACTGTTTATTGTCTGTTCATGAGACAGTTGCAAAATACAGGGTATGAAACTCTCCTGTGGCAGAAATATAGGAGGAGATAACAATAACATCTCCTTCCTGTGGGAACACAACATCCTGGAGATGCTGGGTTTACTACCACTGTAACGTATTTTAACTTTTTTTTGTTGTTGTTCTTTGCTAGTAATAATAAATCTGTTTATATTATATATCTGCTTCTGTCCATTTTGGTCTACAGTGAGATTGCTTAATGGTTCTCTAAGCACCGAAGGGCTGGTACAGGCCAGGATTGGGAAGACATGGCACCTGGCATGTGCAGATGATTGGAATGAACAGATTTCAGATGACGTTTGCCAGCTGCTAGGGTTAGGGTGAGTGAAAAATATTCATCATCCTTGTAACTTGTTTGCAGGTTTGTTGAGTCTATGTATTGGTGTTTTCCTCTTCATTTTGCTGGTGTCTTACCAGCCAGAAAAAGGGCAAATGTATTTTTCTGTAGCAAGTGAAGTGCTTGGTGTGCCAACGACTTTGTAAGTGTTGCAAACCGTGTTTTGATGGCATTCATTACAGGATTGATGACTCTGAATATGGCAGACTAGGCATGAGGATACATATTGGAGAACATTGGGAGACTGATGTGGAGGATTTAGTCTTTTATTACTTTATGTCATCATTTACGTCTTCACTTTTATGAGGATAGCTCAAGAGTAAAGCTGGAGCAATCAGCAGCCTTGGCTGCTCTGCTATCATGCTAATGTTCGTTTCAAGTAAATTCCAGATCATCATTTGGGTATTCTGCTATTGGGTTCCCAATACATTTTGTACCAATCATTAGAACTGAGCTGTTTGGAGAGGCAACTGTATTTCTCTTGAGGTATACTTAGAGGGGGGAGGGAGGAGGGAATTATATGACTGAAAAAATAGATTTGGCTTCAGCTACAGTTCAGCAGAATTCCCAGGGAAAAGATGGGGATGGGTGAGTGCAGAAATGTTGTATTTTTCAATCTATGGTAAAATTTATGGCCTAAATTCTGCCTTCCTTACACCGTATGCAACTTCACTGCCATCCACTGAATAATAAATAGCTTTCCTACAGTGCTGAGGTTTTTAGGGAATGTCACTCATTCAAGTAGAAATCAAATTAAATTCTAAGCTTGTAATTCATTATGTTAGTCTCTGACCAAGTAGGATGCCTGCAAATGCCCTTCTGATAAATTAATTGTAGAAATCACAGAGTTAGGAGAACTTAGAAAAATATCCAAGAGTTATTTGAAAATACTTAATCATTGGATGAATGTGTGCTGGTTTGGTTTTTTTACCTTTCCTTTGGGTAGCTACTTCATTTATGTAAATATCAGACACCCGGACGCACAAATCCTGATTGTAACTTTTGTATGTAGTTATCTCATTTACATACAAACGATGACCAGAAATTCTTCTAGTCAAATAGCTTGTCCTCTACAGTGGTCAGTAGCCTTCTTCCTCCAATTGTTTCTCCTCCTCCCCTACCTCCTTTCCCTCTATAACTTCTGGACCCTAGTCATTTGGTGGTCTATTGGTTTAATTTACATTTTTATATTTGATAGGCTTCAGTGAACTTGGTCTTCCATGGTACTTCCTATTACTTTTTAAAAATTACTTATGCTTTTGCCTCCGTAACATTCTGTGGCAATATGTTTTAGTTTGTCTCTATAAACTAGTCAGATACACGAACTAAAAAAATTCTTATTAAGTTTCCTAGTTACTTCTTTTTAATTCAATTTCTCAGTTTATTACATATTCCCATTGTCAAGAAAAAGTATTTTTATACCTAAATTTCATCACATTCTCGTATCTTGGGTGCTACTGCTGTTACTGATCCTACAGAATAGGATAAAATTCTCATATATATATACATATATATAACTGCTGTAAGCAACACGCTATTTCTGCCTTCCACGAATCCCCCTGTAGCAGCATATTTGTTAGTAAGTGGCACCATATTTGTTCCTAAATGGATATATGTAATAACAGGTCTTGAGTAGGCTATAGCTCATGCTCCTATGCTGAATAATTACCTAGAATCATGCTTTATTAGAGAAAGAGGCTAAGGTTCATGTAGGACAATTTGGTTTTGCTGTTAATTGCTTATACATTTGCTAGTCTCATTTACTGTTTAATTTATGAAAAGGACTGAAATGATAGGAGACCTGTAGCATATCCTGATTACTTATGTAGCTGAGCTAGAAAGCGCAACGTTCCACACAGATTCTAATAAATCACACATGTGAATCCTTTTGCCTCCATTTTTCACATATGTGACTGTCACATTTGTGATATGTGCCAAACAGGAAGCAAATGTGGAGGCAACCTATGTGTTCATCCACAAAATACAGCTTAGCAAATAATTTGCAAATATTCTAAAAGAGTCTCTAGCGCAAGGTGCACAAATTGATGCTCTTGAGAAACCTGAACAAGATCCTTTGCTCATCTTGCACTTTTAACTGCGTGCAGCTGACAGCACTGTTAAAACCTGAGTATGGTTAACATCGCTTTTCCTTGAACCAACAAAATCATACATTAAGCTTTTCACCATTCTGCTGGTCTGGTGTGAAATGTGCTCGTTTCTCTTGAATAGGAGCCAGCTGCATCTTTACTGAATTGTACTCAGGAATGGTGGTAGACTTTGCAATTTTCCTATACCCTAAATTCCAACAAGGACTGAGAGTTCGGGCCTTGCCCTCAACCCTGCAGTCTGTTTTCCTCATGAATTCACAAAATTCTTGAGAAGAAAATTAGTTCATTGGAATAGAATGTCTTGTTTGAGAATTCCCGGTCAATTAGGTTTTCATTCTCCCCACTTACGGGTGGTCAGTAGTAGCTGCATGCCTGGCTCCTTGAGACACCTCAGAATGTCCTGTCTCTGGCTGTCAGACCCAGGTTCTCCAGTGTGCTGAGAATATAACATACAGCCTGAAATGGGTGGAAATGATCCCCCAAAATTCATGCACAAAACCTCTTATTCTGTTGGGTAAATTAGGATGATAAATAGATAACATGATTTTACTCTGCTGTAGAGCCAATGAGAGCCATGCGCTGGATGTAAGAAAGAACCTGGTTCTCTGTGTTCAGGCTGTGTTTGCAGCATTGAGGACCAGAATTAGGACAGTCCTAATAATTTGGTCATAAACTAATTTCATGTCAGTTGTCACCAAGTAATAATGTGCACTTTGACCTGAAACCCACAGGAGGCATCTCAATGATTTTTTTGTATTTGTAGGTCCACAGCTTCCCTTAGGATCAGACACTGCTAGTAAGCTTGGCTTAAATCCATTGCTTAAGAAGCTTCATTTCAAATCCAGAAAGTATAGAGAGGTTACTTTTAATTATCATTTGCAATTTTCATATAAAAAAAATTGTGTGCATGCAAGCATTTGGAAAACAACACTCTTCATACAAATCCACATGTGAACAAAGTTTTTTTTATGCCAAAGAAAGTGTTCGCTACTTGTAATTGGCTTCTATTTTTTCATTGTTTGTTTTTCTGACTGTCAGAAAAACAGCAGATGAAACAGAAACAGTCCTGTGTCTCAAACACAAATTAAGCAAACTGCAAACGCCCCAGAGCCTGAGAACTAAAAAATTAATTACAAAATGTGTGAAGATATTTTCTTCAAATAAGAAATGCATTGCTTGTTTTGGTTTTGTTGTTTTGTTTTGTTTTTTAACAGGGAAAATAATTATAGCTATCAGACAGTTCCACTTCTATCCTTATTCTGAATATTTTTTCAGCATGGTACCACATCATCTGAATCTTTCCCAACATTTGCTACTGCTTATTGTTGCTGAGCACATGAGAGAGAGAGTTAGAGACTGAAATCATAGTGATCCATAGACTATTCAGGTACATGAGGACCAATAATATTGGAGGAATTTACTGTACAGATATCTCTGTACATCTGTGTGTAAGAAACTTCTCAGACTATTCTCTAAGTTTTCTGTAAGTTTTGCCTAGTGAGCATGTTGAATGGAATGAGGGTACTTAACACCTAGGTCAGCATCTTAAAGGCCATTTTTATCACAATCTGCAAGATTTCTAAAAGATCATTTTCATTAACAGAAATTAAAGAGCTGTAACACTGCGTTTCTGGACCTGCAGAGCAAACTATATTCTTGTTACTGAACTGAATATCTGCAGGAAAAGTGTATGATTTCTTATACTTACAGAAATGCTTAACCCTCATCATTTATCAGTAAGTTAATTAAAAGAGTAGTAGATTGATTTTTACGGTCACTCATAAAGCTTAGAGATTTCCATTTGTGTGTGCTTCAGTGTGCTAAGAAATCAAATGAAATTATCAAAGGTTTTCTCAAAAAAGGACTTAGATCTTATTTCAAAAACTGGGGAAGCTTAATAAAGCCCCTGTGGTTAAAAAAAAAAAAAAAAAAAAAAAAAAAAAGAAGCAGCAGCCAAAGAGTGGGAAATAGTTTGCTCAGTCTTTGCTGAAAAAGATCAGGAAAGATGCTGATATGAGATGAGAGATCTTCGTAAGTATTATGAGGTTGGTATTATAAGGAATAAGGAAGCATTGACTTGGAAAGTTAACAGTGTTTGCCCTATTACAGGGTCTGTTACAGTAATGTAGTAAACTACACATGCATTCAGTTGAAGTTTCCTGGTATAATGTACCATGGAAAATGTAAGCCAGTAATATTCATAAATGTCCATACTCTAAGCTTTTCCTGGTAGCATGTTCATCTTTTACATTGCTAAAAGCTCCTGCTCATTAATTTTTTCAAGAAGCAACTTAGTGCCTTTTGCACACATTTGCACTTGTCATTGCTCAGTGGTTAGACTGGTCTCAGCGGTTTCTCATCATAGAGTTTGACTCTACCTACCTGGGTTGACACGCTACTACTCTCCCAGACCATCTAAAAGGTCAAGTCAGGGTTCTGGGGTAATCTCTGAAGTACACATTAGTATATTAGTGTTTTACATTGGAAAAAAGTCTGTACATTAGGCTAGAGTGTGCATTCTCTACATATCTAGAGACAGAATTAAGTGGACTTTGTCATATCCAGGTTGAGAAATGCTGCAGTAATGACTTTTTCAGCAGGGTGGGTCATACAGCTCTCCTTGTGGCACAGCAGGGATGTTGAACACCTCCTTTCTGCTGTGCCTTCTCTTACTCTCCATACACAGCAGATTTGCAGGCAGACTCTAAACTTCATACTTCCCAGGAGACTGAGATTTACCGCACTTGAAGAGAAGAGATAGTAATTCCTTGATACATAGGTGCTCCCTGTGTGTTAAACCTGCACAAATGGTTCTCTTCTTGCTCCTAAACTTCACACTTCCCAGGAGACTATTTACCGCACTTGAAGAGAAGAG